GGGTTTAAACTCACGGCCTGGGCACTGTCTCTAAGGTGTTTTGCGCAAGGCCAGTACTTTGCCACTTGAGCCACATCTCCCCTTCTGATTTTTTGTGCTTAATTGGAGATAAGAGTCTCACAGACTTTTCTGCTCAGTCTGGCTTGGAACCTCGATCTTCAGCTCTGAGCCTTCTGAGTAGGTAGGATTATAGGCATGAGCTACCAGTACGAGACTGCCCTTTTCGTTTGGATTGGTTTTTGGATTGTGTGTTTTTTTTTCTTTTTTTTTTGTTTTTTGTTTTTTGCCAGTCGTGGGGCCTGAACTCTGGGTCTGGGCGCCGTCCCTCAGCTCTTCAGCTCAAAGCTAGGACTCTACCCCTTGAGCCATAGCGCCACTTCCAGCTTTTTCTGCTTATGTGGTGCTGAGGAATCGAACCCAGGCCTCATGCATGCAAGGCAAGCACTCTACCACTGAGCCACCTTCCCAGCCCGTGTTTTTTTTTTTTCTTCTTTATGCCAGCTGTGGGGCTTGAACTTAGCGCCTCATGTTCTTTGCACCTGTTTATTTGTTTTTGCCAATCCTGGGGCTTGAACTCAGGGCCCGGGCACTGTCTCTGAGCTTCTTTTGCTCAAGGCTAGTGCTCTACCACTTGAGCCACAGTGCCACTTCTGGCTTCTTCTATGTATGTGATACTGAGGAATCAAATCCAGGGCTTCATATATGCTAGGCAAGCACTCTACTACAAAGCCACATTCCCAGCCTTTACATTTATTCTTGAGCCAGTAATAAATCCATGATCTGAGGATCATGGTTCAAAGCCAGTCCAGGCAGAAAAGTCCACAAGATTATGTCCACAAAAAAGCAGAAGCTGAGTATCAGCTCAAGTGGTAGAGCACCTGCTCTGAGCAAAAAAGCTAAGGGACAGTGCCCAGACCCCGAGATCAAGCAAGACTTAGTATCAACACAGACACGGACACACAAATACATACACCACATATACACAAACAATTGCAGAAAACTGGAGTTTCTCTCAAGTCTCTGAACAAAAGAAAAGTCACAGTGATTGGGAGACTGAAAGTCTTTTAATTCTCAACTAGTTTACTGGAAAAACTTGGTTAGCAAAACTTTCTGAATTGGGTGTACCTGTTTTGTCTATCATCTTATAAACTAGCCAACTGAAGACAAAAGTACCAGAAATGCTCTAATTATGTCAGCAAGAATGAGAAAAGAAAGCAAAACACTAACTTTTACATAAAGGGCATCTCAATTTCTTCATCTGCTTATGGGCATAGAAGGAAATTCCATCTCTGTCTTTTATTAAAAGGATTGAGTAACAAATGGTGTAAATGCTTCATAAAACTCACAGACCTGTACAAAGGTGAAGAATTGTTATGCACCAGCAAGAAGTGACCTGGACAGAAAGAGGTGTGCTTGTCCCCGTGCAAAGAACCCCTTCCAATTATACCTAGGACATTCAGCTGTCATGTAGCTTACTTGAAGCTCAGAGTTTTTAGTCCACATATCCAGGCTTTCCATAATGTCTCCAAGAAGTGATTACCCCAACCCTTGAGGGCTTTTCAGTGGGTCAAGCCCCTGAGTGCATCGATTTTGTTATCCTGGGGATCTGGCCATTATGCAGTAACATGTGAGTTAGGACCCCCTGGCTTTGTGAACAAGACAGGTTTGACTGATTAGTAAAGATCTTGTTTTCATACAGAATTCTTGCTTTGGGGCGCAAGACTGGGACTCAAGCTCAGTATCTGAGGTTTTCACCCATTGGCTGATGCTCTACCACCTGAGTCACACCTCCAACCCTCAACATTCTTATTTCTGATAGTTCTTTTGGATTTATAGACAATATTCTGTGGCACATTCCACAGCTTTCATTATATAGACAGATTATGGTGGCTTTATATGAAAGATTATTGAATGTCTACCTGTGAATAATGATAGTTTCCAACTATTATTATTATTAACTGCCTCTTGGCAGTTACTCAATATACAATAGCTGGTAGAATGTGCTAAGAAAATACAGAACTGAAGCCAACAAAACGTAATGAACCATAATGAAATAATAAATAGAATGATTTAAAAAGTACATACATATTCACAAAGTATAGGACTTTGTATGTGAGGGAGAGAAAAAGGAGGGGGAGTAGCTGATCTACAAATCCATTAATACATGTTGTGCTGAATTCAATAAGAATTGTCAATCTCCAATGATGGCATACCATATTATTCTAAACATGCAATTTCTTTCTGTGCCAGTACTGGGGCTTAAACTTGGCCTAGGCACTTTCCCTTAGCTTTTTCTACTCTAACATCTTCAGTCACACCTTCATTTCTGGCTTGTTGTTCTTTATTCATAGATCATAGTCTCAGGGCTTTTCTGCCTGGGCTAGCTTCTAACCTTGGTCCTTTGTTCTCAACCTCTCCAGTAGTTATGATTACCAACACACACCACTAGTATCAGCTTCGAACAATGTTTGAAAACAAAAATTACTCTATCTCATTGGAGATGGTGAAGGTATCTGATTGGGTTGCAAGAATCCAATCTTTTGAAGTAGAAAGAACATTTTGCAAGAAGAGACGGACTGAGCTTGACTAGTAGGAAGCACTACTGTTGATCGTGTATGTGTGTGTGTACATGCAAGTTAAAATCTAGGACATAAAATTAAGTGTCATAAGGACAGTATAATAAGCAGGCATCTCAATTATTAGGTACCCTTTATTATACAGTGTAAATGGCTCTGGAACAACATAATGACAGTATGCTCAGGAGCACAAGACCTATAGCTCTGACCGTAAATAGACTGGCTATTTGTATATGTTGAATAGTGTTTTTGTCTTGATACATTTTAGAAAAGGCTAACATTCATTTTAGATACTAAGGCCTTGTCAAGTTAAAAAATGTGAAATGTGTAGTAGTTTCCCTATGATAACAGAAAAGTTTGAATATATTTAAAATGTCTTGATAGTTTTGTGTGGGTTTTTTTTTCCTAATACGAGCACTTAGCAAAAAAGATGGAAACATTCAACAAACCTTTCTTTTTGTAAAACACAAGATCTCCCATAGCCCAAGCTATCCTTGAACTTGGGAATCCTACCTCACTTTTTTGAGAGCTGGAATTACAGGCTTGTGCTGCCACCCTGAGCCCCAAATCCAGTTTTGTAAAACAGTTTTGTAAGTCTTACGTAGAGCCTTCTGGCTCTATATAAGAGGTATGAGAGCAACCAACCACTATTCAACACGAAGGAAAATAAGTCTCAGCATATAGGCCTTTTCTTTACATAATTAAAAAAAAATAAAACCTAAAAACTTTTACTTGCATTCTTAAAAAGTTTCTCCATGCTTATTCTTAGTTTAGAAAATTTGGAAACTCAAAAGGAAAATTTAAGCTGAGACCATTAATAATATTTTGGCATTTCCTTCCTGAGAAAATTAAGTCCTTTAATTTCCTATTGTTTCTTTCTCTCCATCACACACAAAGGCACACAGCTAGTCATCCTGTTTATAGTCATATATCCTACTTTTTCCATTTAACATACCATGAACATTTTTCCATGTCATTAAGTATGCTTTGAATATGTTCTTGACCGCATAAAATTCCATCCTATTGATGCACCTGTTTTCTTTTAAGCAGACACATGCCATGCTTCCCAGTCATGCTGGGCTCTTAATTGAAACGGCAAAGAAAATGCTGTGTGATCCACTATGCTCCTCTTATTATTTTTAATTCTATTTATAAAAGGTATTGCAGTACAAACACATCTATGGACACTAGATAAGATGGCTAATAAACACTCCAGAGAAAATGTCAGCTAGTTCACGTCCCCTTGCTCTCACTGGTTATATACATCACCATGATAAAAGTGTCAACTAGCCTCACCGTTGCTTCTTCCATTTTGTGAGAGCTACAAATAACTTTACCACCATCTCTTTGAGGTTATGATAGTATAGTTTTAACACGAAGTAAATGCTACATAAATAGGTACAACCTTCCAGAAATGTAAATGTCATACATATATAAAGTCACCACCTACAATTTTAAACTTGAGTATTCACGATGCAGATGTGGGGGGGGAGGGGTTGTTACTACTCATGAATGCTCCCAACACTCCCCAATCTGAGTATTTTAATTTTGTCTAATTCTCTGTTTTCTGAAGGATTGTTGGAAGTTTTATCTGCTACACACAGGTTTGAACCTCGTTAAGGGAATGAAACAGCATACATGAAGCCTTTAGTCCTCAGGAGGGCGCTGTGGAACTATATTCCTTGGGTTGCCTTGCCTGGGGAAATTTCTTTTGTTGCTCTTAATTCCGTAGGGAATGAAAAACCAGGCCTCTGAAAGCTGTAATTTCATTTACTTTTAAATAAAGACAAACCATTCCATCTTTTTTTAAGCTGTGAAACAGGAATTGTATGTTTACCAATGGAATACTGTCATTAAAACTGAGCAAATGAAAGAATTGAGCAGTTTTTACCTAGAAAAGGACATTCAAGGGAGGAAACTGCATAGTTTTATATTGATTTGTAAACAGAACCCAACTGTGATAGTTCCTGTAAAACAAAATAACATTTTAGAACAAGTCTTTTATAACTTGTCAGGATACCGTTGGTGCCAAGTGCCTTGGTGGCTAGCCTAAACACTCAGGAGGCTGAGATCTGAGAATCAGTTTGAAGCCAGCCCAGGTAGGAAAATCCAAGTCCATAACAAACTTATTTCCAATTAAGCACCAAAAAGCCAGAAGTAGAGCCTGTAGCTCGTGATGAGTGCCAACCTTAAGTAAAAAAGAGCACCCAGGCCCCGAGTTCAAGCCCCAGTACAGGCCTTCCCCTGTTATTAGAGGTGGCTTTTTAGTGGACTTCTGTGCCCTGTACTCTAGTTTCAATTGAAATTTGTTTGCATGGACTTTGAAGATAAAAATAAAACAGTGACATCATTGTTCAGATAAAATATTATAGGTTTATTTAAAACTTAATTCTCACCTTGAGTATGCAAAATACAAACTCCACAAAATGTTCAATTTTTTTACTTTGTAGTTTACAAATATACAAAATAGAAGTTTGCTTAAATTTATGTTACATATTTATTAAGGCAAGGAACTATATAGAAAAAACACATTTGTTCTGCTTAAGGCATACTTGGGAATAAACCATTGTACAAATTATTGCACATCTGAAACCACAGTGCATAACAGACTGTCTGCATAAAAAAAATGTTAAAAGTAAACCAGGCATAATTTACCTGACTTAGGTCATACATGTAGATCGGAAGACAAAAATAGATTCCTTGTCAAAGTATGCAGCAGTTTGAGAACTTTGGCTTCCTCTTTTGGTACTTTTAGAACCAAGACTCACCAAGCACCATCATTTAGGCTATTAGAACACATATTCTGTACCTGAAATTTCTTCCTCTTCTTCTAACTGAATAATGGCTTTTAGAAGGCAAAGAGAATACAAGGTGATCTGTATATTTATATTGCATCTGAAAACACAATTCAAGGGAATTCTGGTCTTCCCTACTCCCCCTCCCCCCAACTGAGGGATCTAATTTATACCCTGATATCCACAGCTTCCGGTCACCCCCATTGTGGTGTTTGTAAGTCCAGGCATATTCAAGTTGATTTAGAATTGGAATGATAGAAGATCCAGTCTCAGACCCCATCTGTTCTTTGATTTTTTTTTGTTTTATTTTTTAATTTTTTTGTCTTTTTTGGATTCCTCCTTTCTCTTGATTATCCATTTCACAAGCTGACTTGTTGTGACCATGATTGTAGTGCTTTGCCAGCTGAGCTCTCCCCACATGGGAAGACAACGTGAAAGGTTTGAAAAAAAAAAATACTGAATTCTCTTCTGGCAGTGTGGGTCGTCGTATGTATCCACTGTCTGGGTTTTAAAAGTGCCTCTTCATGTGTAAGGCCAGGTGGTCCGACCTCGAAAAGGCCCTGTCGCACTTCTGGCACTGGAAGGGGCGGTGCCCCGTGTGTTTTCGATAGTGCCTGGTCAGTTCATCGGAGCGGGCAAACTTCCACCCACAGCCATCCCAGTCACAGTGGTAAGGTTTCTCACCTGTACAGAGTAAAGGGGAAAATGAACAAAAACAAAAATGTTGAAGCCATGGCACGGATCGTCAACGCCGATTCCCCAAATACCTCAGTCCACTTCTGCAAAAACCCAGCATTGACTTTTTGCTACAACAAAGGATCGTATTAAATTTCACATCAACGGGAATAATAACCGATCATTGTTGTTTTAAGTAGTTGCTCATCTTTAGGAGGGCCACACACACCCCTCGCATCTACACTTCAATAGAGACATCTTTTCATTCCTTGTGTTTTCATTCTTGGGAGCCAAAACCACCACTGTAGCAAATTACTGGTAAAGTAAAGGCCCCAACTGGCACAACTATCCTATCCCATTACAATTGGCTCTAAAAATCCACAGGTGGCTAACATTCCAGCACAAACATTCCACTTTTCATAAACAATACGTCAAAGACAACTATATGCATCTGCTTACACAATACTGAAAACTCTCTACAGTAACAATATATTATTATTATTGAGAAAGGGGTGGGGTCCTGCTCTGTTGCTCAGACTAGTCTCTTCTAGGAGGCTCAGGTGAGTGGCTTACATCGATAATCTTAACCCAAAATTTCCCTGGCTATCATAACCAGTAAAATAGAAACCAAAGAAGGGTAGGATTTTAAAAAAAAAGTATATAAATAGAACCAGCAACAACAATCCAGGAAAAAAAAAAACTAAGAATTGACTTTTTAAAAAAGCCATCATATTTCTGCACTGCAAAGTATAATTTCTTGATTACCAAGGGGAGAGGCCCACCTGCACCGATAATCTCCCTGCCTTTTAAGGGCCTAACGAAACTGCGCATTTAAGCACAGATACCATCCATCAAGCGAAAGGCTCCTGGGCAAAAAAGCAGGCGCCAGTTTGCTGTGTCCTTCCCCCCTGTGATCCAGGAGATTAAGGAGATACTCTCAGGAAACGAGAGTCCAGGGCGACTCCAGAGCCCTGGAGAGGTGAGGACACCCACCTAACCTCCGGGCCTTTCCTCGCCTTCGTCTCCCCACCACCCCCTACCCCAACCTACCTGTGTGGGTTCGGAGATGTGCCTTGAGATGAGAACTCTTTGTATAGGTTTTGCCGCAGCCCGCGTAATCGCAAGTGTGGGTGGCCGTCCTTTTCCGGGGCCACGACCTTCTTCCCCTCTTTGGCTTGGGCTCCTCTGGCAGGCAGGAACCGGGTGGCATGAGCTCTAGTAGGGGTTGAAGAGGGTGGAGGTCACAACACTGTGGGGAGGGGGGATGTGACCCCCGACCGACACGCCGGAGTTCCCTAAGCGCCCCCCCCCAAATCTCCTTCCTCCTCCTCCCCGGGGACTGACCTTGGTAGTGGAGCGGCGGGACCTGCGGCTGCATCTGGTCAGGCAGGAAGGGTGGGTAGTTGGGCCCCGGGTGGGCATGGAAGCCCGGGGGCAGCGGCAGGGCGGGGTGACAGTCCCTGTTGGCCAGCAGTTCCTCGGGACTCAGGGTCGGGGTAGTCCTGCTGGGGAGCTGCCGCCCCAGGGAGAAGTCGTGCGCGCTGGGCCGGTGGCCGTTGCTGAGCGGGGGTCCCGCACCCAAGTGGGCCTCCAGGGGCCGGCCGACGGTGCACGAGGAGACCACGGCCTCCTGCTTGATCTTGGGGCACATGCGCGGCGGCCCGCCGCTGTAGGGCGCCACCACCACCGGGTGGCTGCCGTCCGGGCTGCCTTTGCTAACACTGATGACCGACGGGCCGCCGTACTCGCTGCCGGGGGCGCTCAGCGACGCCTTCAGCACGAACTTGCCCAGCAACCCGCCACCTGGCGGCGGCGGCGGCGGCGGCTGCTGCTGCTGCGGCGGGATGTACACCGGGTCCAATTCGGGCCGCAGGAGCTCGGCCACGAAGCCGCCCGAGGGGCTCACGTCGTTGATGTCCGCCAGGTTGAAAGGAGCCGTGGGAGGAGGCGCGGGTTCCCGGCCATAGAGGAGGCCGCCGCCGCCGGAGCTGCCCGGTGCCACCCCCGGGTCCCCTCCGGCCCGGAGCGGATAGCTGAAGCTGCAGGTGGAAGGTGCGCTGGGAGGGCCGCTGCTCGACGGGGAGGACGAGGACGAGGCGGAGGCAGACGACGACACGGTGGGGACCACCGCTTCTTGATGGGACAGCGAGTTGGAAAGAATAAAGTCTAGGTCCAGGAGATCGTTGAACTCCTCGGTCTCTCTCCGGGGCAGGAGGGCCGGGTTGTTTCCGCCGCACGCCGCGCCGGCTCCGCCACTCTCCAGGTCCGTGGTCACGGTGGCCGCCAGGTCGAAGGGGCGGCCGGGAAGCACCGGGGGAAGCCGCTTCATGTGGGAGAGCTCCTCCCGCCAGCGCTGCAGAGGGGACCGGGCGCGAGACAGGCCGTTAGTCGTCATCCCCTGCTGCCACCCCGACTATGTATGTACCGACTCGGTGGCGTTGGGCCCGGGGAAAACGCCACCCCAACATCTCCCAGACGTGAGATCGGGTGTGTGTGTGTGTGGAGGGGGGGGTGAGGTGACATAGGCTGAACTAGATCCCAACCACCGCCGAGGTCCGAGGAGCGGCGGGGTGTGTGTTCGCCTTCGTGGGAACGAGCGCCACCGTCCCCCAGCCTATCTCCTCCTTCGCCGGATCCCGGGGCGGGCGGGGGTGTGTGTATGGGAGGGGGGAATAGGACTCTCCAGGCGCCCGTGGACTTGGGGCACCCTCGCCACCCGACCGCCTACGCCCTCCTAAGGCTCACCCCAGCCCAGCCGGTGGCTCCGGACTTAGCCACCACCACCTCCCGCTCCCCTCGCCCGGGTGGCCCGCACGCGCCCACCCTACCGTCCTCGAGACAAGTGGGGAACCGCTGTGCGCCCCTGGCGGCACCACGGCGCCCAGACCACACACGGCACACGTTCAATCTACACCCCACCCCCCCCACCCCAGTCATCCTGGAGCCTGTGCGTCCGTTCCCGGGGTGATCCTCACCGCCCCCCCCCGGCCCCAACACACACACACACACCGGGGTCCGCCTAAGCCCCACTTCACCCACAGAAACACATCGGGAGTCCCGGGCCACCCCCGGCGACACTCACGTTATTCGGGGCACCTGCTGGGCGCAGTGTCTTCTCCCTTCCCGCCGGGCCGGGCGCGAACGTGGAGAAGGACGGGAGTAGGGCGTCGCTGACAGCCATGTCAGACTCGCCAGGTGGCTGCCTGCGGACCAGGCGGGCACAGGGAGGCAGGAGTCAGGGCCGCTCGGGGCCACCAAACACCCCACCGGTCCCCGGCCACTGCTCCCAAACACCCCACCGGTCCCCAACACCCGGCATCTCACCTACCTCATTAATGTGGGGGGGCCAAGAAGGTCCTCCGGAGTCCGAAGAAGCGGGGGTACCCGAACCCCAGTCACCGAGTATTTAAAAAAGGAAAATCTAGAAGCGAAGCCCCAAGCCAAGAAAAAAAAAAAATATTCGTCTTCTTTGGATTAAATATGAACTGGAGATGTCCTTTCTTAAAAGTTCCTTTGTATGCAAAAGTTCTCGGGAAAGTTGTAAACTCGTATCAAAATATCAACAGTCAGCAAGGCGAGCGAGTAGGTCCGGCGGGCGGGCTGCGCCCCGTTCCGCTCAGCGGCGTCCCCCGCCGCGGTCGCGGCCGCTGCGGCTGTCGTCGGCGGCACAGGGGCTGTGGCCGGGGCGGTGGGCGGGTGGCGCCGCCAGGTGAGAATGGCCGCGGTGGCGCGGAGTTGCGAGCTGGGCGGCGGCGCAGGGCGCGGAGTCCTGGGGGCTGCGCGGGGCGCGCGCGGCCATGGGCGCGGGCCACGGGCGGGTAGGTGGGTGGGGGGCCAGAGGGGCGGGGAGGGGCAATCGGCGGCTCTGGGTGCCGCCGCCGCCCGCCACCGCCTCTGCTCCCCGCGCGCCCGCAGCCGCGCTAGCTCACTGGGGCCGGGGAACTGCCGGCGGCCGCCGCGCGCTTCTTACTTTATAACTTCTCGGCTAGCGCCTACCCCCGCCTCCTTCCCGCAGCGCGCCCCGGTCCGCCGTCAGGCCCCGCCCCTCTCTTTCTTCTCCCCGCCCTCCCGCGGCCCCCCGCGCGTTGCCATGACAGCTAAATAAACAAACTCCACGCACGTGGGGGCGGGGAAAAAAGGAGGGGCGCGGGCGGGGCGGGGCCTGGCCGGGCTGGGCCGTGACGCCAGCCGGGCAGCTGGCAGGCTGGAGCCGCGCTGACGCCGGCGGTGGTGGCTGCGGCGTCTCCGGCGTGGGGCGCGGGGGTGCGGGGAGCCCGGTACAGGTCTGATTGGCGGCGCCACGGGGACCCTCCGCGCCTCCATACTCGGTCCCCCGTGGGTTCGAAGCCCGCGGCCGGGACGGCTGTTGGTAGTTGAGAGAAGGCAGCGCGCCCCTCCTTGAGCTCGTGTACGCGCTGGCCGCGCCGTCCGCGCGCGCGAGAGAGAGAGGCGAGCGCGATGATCCGAGTGACTCACCGAGCCCGCCCGCCCCTTGCAGCCGCGCTCCGAAGCCGGGCTCCCGCCCCGCTGCGCCTAAGCCCGGGGCTGGGCCTGGTCTCCCTCTTGATCGTCTCGGGGCTCCCGTCGGGTGTGGGTGGGGTGAGGTGGGGAGGGGATAGCGAGAGGAGGCGGGTGCCCAACACTGGGTGGTGGGGAGCAGGAACCTCCAAAAGGCCGCCGTGTTCCGCGCCTGCCAAGGGCGCAAAGCCGCCAGCCGGGGATGGGGGACGGAGTGCGGGTTTCGCTATTTACAAATAAAAAGGAGGGCCGGGGGGGGGTGAAAGATTTATTTGGGAACCCGAGGCACGTAGACACCTTTCAACCCGGCCTCTCAAAGCGCTTGGCAAGCTACGCGCTCCCCCGTCCACTTTATGGATGAGAAAACTGAGTCATAACGAGGTGAAGAGGCGAGGTAAAGGTCAAACGACAACTCGCTCGCTTCTGCCTAGGTTCCGGGGCCGGTCGGACCCACCGAAAAAGGGTGAGG